CAATAAGGGGTCTATTATATGAGTGGGAACAAATCCTTCAAATGGGAAAAAATTTATTTAAAATAAAATCCAATCCATTAGCAAATATAGGAAGTCACTCAGTTGGAAAATGGGATCCAATCCCCAAATGTGGCTAAATGAAGAATCCACAAGAGGCTGAAATAAGAAGTATGTATTTGTAACACTGTTACCAAATTGCAAAAACAGCCAGGTAGGTCAAACAACGTAGGCAAAAAAGTAAAGGGTTCAATAAATGTTCAATAAGACAAACAACCAAATGGATTCAAAATGAAAGGAGAAAAAAAAAAAAAGAATAAAAAGGGATGTTAACTCCACTGTCATAAACATTAACAGACATAGGGAACAAAATGTGAACGTATTCAACTTACTAATATGAAGCAGCCTTTTAGTCACATAAGAATAAAATGTATTGAGGCTGAGATGTATTTAATGAGGCATTATGCAAAGATGGAAGCAAATATTTTGCAAATATCAGAACCTGATGGCATCATTGTTATTTGGTCTCCGTTTCAAAAGCAGCACATTTTTACACCCATACTTGTAATCTTACATATGTTTTTTTTCAAGGCACTATTTAACACTCAGACACAAGTCCCACAGTGCAATACTTCCACACAATCTTTTTCTCAGTAAAGCATCATTCAGTTTTTCCTCTATTATCAGGAACATCAAATAAAATTCAGTTTCCATTTATGAAAGCATTGAGCCGCTTCACCAGTGAATAGGGACTTAATGCCTCATGATCTTACGAGACATTTAAGGCTCCATGCATTTTTAAAGCTCTCTGATTATTATAAAAACTACTGAATGATAACATGCTAACTCTGAGATTTGGATTTGGTTCATTCTTGTCCCGTTTGTCTAATCATTAAAGGAAGGCAGGACAAATAGAGCTATTAAAACTACAACAGTATACGCCATATCGAACAGTGCAAGAGGAAGACAGAAGGATTAGATAAGGAGAAAAAAAAAAGGGGGGGGACGCGACCACTGAGTGAACAAGAAATGTCACTGGACCAGTACAAATAGTGAGCGATTAGGATGTGAATAGTGTGTTGAGAGAGAAAAGACTTCCACCGCTGAAACCAAAGGAAACCGTGTGTTTGAAGTCAACATTGAAATGGTCTTCAGATTTCTTTACATTTATTTTTTTAAATAAGCACTGATTTTAAATTTGTCAACATTTATTAAAGTTTAATCATGTCAAGCTTTAATATAAAGGGATAAGGAAGAAGAAGAAGTAGAAACAGAATTATGTTTTCACCTCACAGTATGGGGACATAACATTATCAAATGTTAACAGAGCAAACACTCCTGTCTGTACTTAATTTACACCTTAGATGAGAATGTCAAATTTGTTACTGATGATTAGGGGTAAAGATGTTTACAGCTTAATACCTAAGGAATCTAATCTGTGAAGCAGAGATATCATTTAAATAATTTTAAAAAGTTTCACCTGCAAGCCACTTTGCAAACCACATCCACCTTTCATGCCATGTCCGTCATATCAGTGTCATATCAGATGCCTGCTGTGCTTCTGATATTCTGTGCTGTGTCTTAATGGTGTGGTTCCCTACTGCACAATAACTGGGAGAGATCCTTGAGATCAACCACAAGTTTCAAACCAAGGATCCTCTTCCTGTGAGGTGATAGTACTAAACACTACATCCCTGTGTGTTCTCTGGTAAAATAACAATGAACATCTTTTTGATCTGCAAACCCAGACTCTTTGAAATTCTAAATGAAATGTAAATAGAGCGAGACCAAAGTATAAACAAAAAAAAATAGGAGTCAAAAATCTATGAACTTTATGGTAAAACGGGCTAACAGAAGTCCTGGTCATATGATCAATGTAAGCATTCATTCTGAAGCTTAAGAGTTAAATATTACTGTTGGCTGTCTGTACCTCAGTCTAAGAAGCAGAGACTGTGGTATGAATCAGAGAAATACAGGCAAAAATCCATACACATCCTCGTTCAGTGACATGCATGGATATTGTTGACTACACTGCACCAGCATAGATGCTTTAACCTTTGATGACATTTTTTAAGGCAACAAGTATAAGTAATAAGCAGACAAACAACAAAACAAAGTACAAAAGCCTGTCATAATGTCACAGCAGCATCTTTGGAAATGTTACAGACTGTCAGTGACACAGAACATAAATCTACAAAACCTGGCTCTGGAGAGAACAAAAGACTTTTGTTCTTAAGTATTAAACGAATAAGCACAGTATGTGTGTCAAAGTCTTTTGTGGATGAGTACACAGGCGGACGGGTTCTCCCAATTTCAGCGGTGTGGGAGTGCAGTAAAATTTAAGCATTCTATACACATCCAAACACATGTGCGCACACACAGACAACAGATGTATAAAATGAGTAAACGGAGTAGATAACCCCGGCAACAACAAGCAATACATCTCTTTCAGCGTAGAGGTCAGTGACTTGGTGGACTTAGAAACTGTATTTGAATGCAAGACTTGCACTGTAAACTAAGAGCTGACTATGAACTCAAAGTGTACAATCACCTTGTAAAAGCTGATACGTTCCACTGCAGTATTCACTTTCCTTCTTGTCTTGGTGCTTTACTGCTTAGGAATTACACTCATTTTTATGAGTAAACAGGACTATCTCACAATTTTAAATACTTTAAAAAATATTATTTTTAATATTGGATATAACTGTATGAATAATAATTTTTAAAAAGATTTGTTAAACTGACCTATGATTGTTGATCACACATATTTCAAAAGAAATTGATTCATCATGTTGACATACAGTGAATCAAAAATTATAATATCACCTATATTGGCTAGTTTGTATTTGATGTGATTAGAGTGACAAGGTATACACCCACTTTCTTCTCCCTAAAGAACCTTTTTTTTTTTGACTCTTACAGATATGTTGTTGACTTACAGAGCTATCCAGCAGTGGACCAAAACGTTATTACACATTCACCAACAGGGGACTGCTGAGCAAACAGAGGACATCTTCTCCTTCCCTTCTTGAACATGCCATAAATCACACTAAAAATCACGCTTAAAACCCTCTGGTGACGTTTTAATTTTGGTCAGGAGGAGGCCGGCAGGTGTGTGAATGTTAAAGAGTATGCACAGCAGTGCCTCTGCAGGCTGGAGAAGCTGGATTTTAATGACCCGCTCAGACACATTGTTTATTCGTACATATTTTGTTTGAATGGGTATCTGCCCCAGGGAGGCTATGAGACCCCAGAGCTGATATTTAACATTTTGCTTACTAAGGGGAGACAGACTTTTTGTGCACGGTTAGATATTATCTTTTTGTAACAAAATATAAAGGATCACCTTCAGTCTATGGCTCAACTAATATTAAAATAAATGAGCTACACAGAATACAGACAAAAAATGAAGTCTTAAAATTAAAAAAAAAAAGACAAGGAAAAGAAACTCAGAAGCAAAAAAAAACAAACAGAACAGACGTACCGACAGAAAAATTCTAACATACATTCACAGCTCATCAAGGAAAGAACTTAAAAGAAGTCAATTCAGTTCATCCAAAAATCGTTGTCTAAATTGAGGCTAAAAACTTGGTGAACTTTATAGCAACACTGCATAAGAGAGAGAAACATAAGCATAGTTCCTGATGAAGTTAGCAATGCACTTAAGTTCAGTCCCAACCAATCGACTTAAAATGTACACTGTTTAGCTTTTAGCTGCTTTTAAAAAAAAAAGTAAAACTAAGTTGTGGGCTGCACACGCACCTGAAAATATTACAGGTTTAAGAAGGACTACAGACTTGGGTGTTATACTGGATTAGTAATATGAGCAGCTCCTTTCACTTTGTGCATGATAATTTTATCCATAGTTAGCAAGAAAATGCTTCATGTTACTCAAATATGCATCAATACACACTGAAGTATCATTAAATATATTGTAATTTGTCACATTAACTGTAGGCAAAAGTTAATAAATGTATAAATTATTAACATAATAATCCATTGTGGGATTCCTCTTTGCAGCTTTGATTAAATGGACCGAGGCAACAATCTATAACTGTGATTACTTTGACAGTATATAATCTGAAAAAAGTGTTCTCAGCTTCGCCATGGAAACCAACTTGCAAAGTCTTGTGATTTTCACTGTATTAATTATTCTTATACGAAGAGCTATGATGTTATTTTTCTGTCAAAGACGGACAGAGGCTGCAGACAGAAGAAGGAATGGATACATCTTTAATTTGCTATAAAATTACACAACTATACCACACAATACACAGTGCATGTGTGTGCCGTGCTGCCAGAGTACAAATCCCTCTGTCTTTGAATTCCCTTTAGTACACCATACCTTATCTTTCTGTATCTTAATCTTGTCTCTGAGCTTTTTTCCCTTCAAATACCGTGACATCCTCAGTCAAATCCTGATCATTTTCTTTCTCCTCTTTTTTCATGTCACCTATCTGTCTAGTGATATCCCTCCAGCCCACCCTTTTCAAATGTCTTCAGCTCAGAGTTAAAAAGGCATCAAGTTTTTGCTGTTTATTGAGGGAAAATGTGGAGACAGATTGTTTGCCTTGGGAGATGCTTGTCTGATGTTTGTACATGTGCCTCATTGCGTGTGTGCCTCAGTCTGCATCTTGTTCAGAGAAAGAATTAATGACTCACATCTTCCTGCTAAATACGCTCAAGGAAGTTCAACGAGTGGGGGAGAAAAAACTTTATCAGTTGCATTGACCGTGAGTTGGATGTAGACTGACATTGTAATACCAAAAGGTGCATACAGCTATAGCATGACTGCAACTATAAAATCTGCCATAAACTCATGAAAAACTGCTGAAAAATTCCATAACGCTGACTTTGATTAAAAAAAAATGTGACCACACAACTTTGTCAGCTTTCTGACACAGTTCTTTTCTCAACAATACACATTGAAATTTTATCAAAGATGGATAACGTTCAGAGTCTACGGGCAGGATTTGTAATCTCAGTCTCAGAGTGACACCTACCAGTCATGCCTGGAGGGGTTTTCAAAAATTTCCCATTGAAATTTTGAATCACCACATCACACTTCTCTGTTGACTCCATCCTGGGATAAAGAAAAATAAAAAGAAGAACTTTAGGACAATTGCTACAAAATACAGAAGCTACAATTCTGCTTAGTTCAACATGCACAAAAGGTACTGAGGTAATCCATCCAGATATAAGTGCAGTCTTGTAAGTGCCTTCTGGTTTATGCATCTTGGTTATCTATGAATGCCTGAGAAAAAGGCCTTAGGTAGGACTGTGCATGTCTGTGTGTTTGTGTGTCTGTTTTCTATGGGGTTTCCTCTCCTTTGTCCCAGTTTAAAAGCTCCATTCAGTCTGATCTGTTGTGTGTCATGTCCTCTTTGTCTGCCCCTATTCAGCTCTGCTCACCCAATCACAGCTCAATGACTAATTGCCTGCTTGGCAAGCAAAAGCCAGTGTGTCAGTCTGTGTGTGTGTGGAGAACAGCAAAACGGTGACGGTGACTGAAGAGTTAGAGGCTGTGTGTGTGTGTTCGGGATGTGAACACGCATGACGGTGTGGGTCATGGGTTTTGTTCATGTAGCCAGTGACCCTGAATGTAGCTGACTTCACTCTAATCACTGACACACTCTAGGATGCAACTGAGAAGGCCCCCCCTCCATATACACACACATTCAAAGTGGATCTGTACAGCTAAAATACCTTCAGCTGCAAATGGAAACTAATCAGCTCAGGATCACATTGTAATTATCTTAAAGAATGTGGATTATAGTAATTATATTAACAATTTTTTCATTCTGTGCCCAATATGTAATTATAGCAATCAGAATAAACATATGGTCGATAATTCACAAGTGATTTTTTTCCCTCAGTGAACTTTAAGGCAGTGCAGTAATATCTAATATTTAAAAAAATAAAATAAAATCAAAGCTAGTAGTGGAAAGCATAATCTCAGTAACTCAAGAATCCCAAGTATCCTGCGGTACCTGGCAAAGCCAACTCCTCTGCTAAGGCCATTGGCATCCCTCAGTATCCGCGTGGAAATGACGTGACCAAAAGGCTTCAGCATGTTCTCCAACTCCTGCTCATCCATCGACACAGGCAGGTTAGATATGTAGAGATTGGTGGGGTCCTGCTCCTGTTGCTGTGAAGAGAGAGGGGTAGAGGGTGAACAATCAGTGTCAATTCAAACCAGAAAAGAGCAGATGCATCTGTTTTACAGTAATGTGCAAAGGATGTCATATTTTGCTTCCAAGGAGGCAGATGTTCTTGTCGTTTTTTAAAGTGGTTTTGAGCAACAGGGCTTTCTTGAGGGTCTTTCAAAGTTTCAAAAGTGGACAGTGGCTGTTTTTTCCACAAATTTTCTCAGTCCAGTCCTTGTACTTCACCTTTTCTTAGGAATGTTTTTTAAGCCACTTACAAATGACATGAATGTTCAAGCATAAAGGAATCAAGCTAAACAAGTGAGCCAGTGTTGTGTCCTCTGTCTACATCTAACAGGCAACTTGGCAAACAACCACTTTTAAATTTGTATGTTTAGGCACTTATCTGGTAGCAGCCTGCTGCAATAAACAAGGT